TTTTAGTAAGGTTTGTTTGTGCAGGTTCAACTCAGTGTCAACTCCCCATCTTTATTTATTTATTTTTATTTATTTTTTTCCCCATCTTTAGTGATAACTATATTCTCTTCTTTCTGGCGCTGGGATGGTATCTTTCTCACAGGAAGTCCTGCCCTGTGATTAGGCAGAAAGGGGGAGAGCAAAGAGCCCTTCCTACATCTGCTGTTTTTCAGTTCCCTGCAACTCAGAATAATCAATATGTTGAAGCCATATATTTTAGGGTGTAATATTGAACTTCAAGAAAGAGTTCTTGGAACCAGCAAGTGATGTGGTGGTTAAGGTGGTGGACTCTCATATGGCCAACCACAGTTCAAGCCCTGGACCTGGTAGCTTGCTTTCTCACTTTCCCTCTCTCTCTCTCTCTGTATCTCTTTGATAAAATTAAAACAATAATAATAATAAAAAAAGTTAAATGCGTATTTTTTTAAAAAGAAAGAGTTTTTTATAAGATGAAGGGAGGAAAGAAGTGAAGAAGAAGCTCTAGAAACGGAAAATGTAGTTATCAAAACATAATACCCAAGTGTGGGTCCTCCTCTACTCTGTTCCAGGAAGGAAGCTTTAGTAAGTTCCACGTTTTGCCTGTTGTAGAGTTGAGGTAGCCTACGGCTCCTCCTCGTGGTTCTCTCATAGAATGACCTGTACTTGGGGCTCCCTTCACTCCTGCTAGTAACTTAAGAGGTGGAATGGGGCATCAAGCTACATGCCGTAGGCAGGTCTGACTCTGGTCTTTCCAGGCAAGACTTCTCGAGCATGTCCCCTGGGGCAACCAGAAATCCAGGTGTGATGGTTAAAACTTCATGTGTCAACTTGACTGGGCTGTAGGGTGCCCAGCTATTTGGTCAAACATTATTCTGGGAATGTCTGTGAGAGTGTTTCAGGATGAGATGAACATTCAAATCAGTAGACTCAATAGAACAGAGTGTCCTTCCTAAAGTGGGTGGGCCTCATCTAATCCATCGGATGCCTTCAAGAGAACCAAAGACTGACCTCCTGCAAATAAAAGGGACCTCCTCCTGCCTGGCTGCTTTGAGCAGGAACCTTGGTCTTCTCTGGCCTTAGGATGCAAACTGAAACACTGGCTCTTCTTGAGTCTCGAATCTGCTGGCTTTCAGACTGGAACTGACATTATTGGCTCTCTTGGCTCTTTAACTTGCTAGTTGCAGATGTGGGGACTTTTCAGCTCTGTAATCACAGCCAGTTTCTAATTACACACACACACACACATAGAGAGATATAGATATCCTGCTGGTTTTGTTTCTCTAGGGAGACTCTAATACACCGTGTGCACGACACATTTCCCATATACAAGGGGGAAGTCTCCTTTCTCTCTTTTCATACATTCTTTCTCTCTTTTCCTGATGACTCTGGGCCCTAGAGCCCCCTCAGCTAGACCATGGAAAGCCAGCATCCTGGATACGTCCTCTCCCTCATCCTGGGAAGTCAGCATCCCAGGGAAAGCCATGCCAGTGAACTCTATCCTCCTGCCCCTGGGCTATGTGGCTGGAGGGGGAAAAAAAGACGAAAACCAGCCAGAGCGCTGAGTGCTCCAGGCTGAGCAGACCCCTGCCTTACTAGATCAGTGCCTTCGATGGCTGGTTTATTCTTAGCATCGCTTCCAAAGGCTATCATTTCCCCAAGCCGAACTCCAGCCTTGCATTGCCATTCTCAGAGTGCACTGCCTCAACTCGCCTGAGAAACACATTGTCTGGCAGGCATATTCCCACGACTTCCCCTTCTCTGCAATTCAAACTGGCTCTGACTATCCACCTAGGCCCTTCTCTTTCCTCCCCAAGATTCAACTTTCCCCTTCTATCTTTCCTCCCCAAGATGTTTTCATCTATTCCCTTTTATCTTTCCTTCCCAAGGGAAAGGCTTTTAGGGCACTGACAAAAGCAAAGTTCTTGCAGGTGAAATGTGAACATCCAACTCAGGTCCACGAGGACAGGGCCCAAGGTGGACGTGATCAGTTTGGCATAGCAACATCTCTTCACCTAGAATCTCTCCTCTGGCCTTCTTCCCACAGTGTGATTTCAGGGCCCGGGCCCTGGCTCAGGCAGACCCCCTTAGGCACCAACCAGGGGGACCATAGGGCATTCTCTCTCTCATCCCATGCAAGACCATCCCTCTGTAAGCTTCTTGATGCGTCCTCCTTCCTTCCCCGTGTCATTAGATATTTTCTCACACTCTTACGTGTATGTTCAACCTTTCTCCTCTACATCCTTACCCTCCATTTAAAACATACTTGGCACTCAAGCCAGGCAGCGGTCTGGTGGTTAAGGCAGCTGGATCCCACATCGCCAACTTCATGTTTCAAATTCTGGAACCAACAGCTTGAAATACACATTGAGCATTTGTGCATGAGTCCCCATGACCCCAAAAAGGAGACAGGGAGCAGAAGGGATTGTAGTGTGACCATACCCATGGGTGGTGTTCTTTCTCATCCCCACCCCCCTTTCTCTCCAGCTAGCACACATACCCTCTAGCAAATTTAGAAGGAAAAAAAAAAACCTTTTAAGATATATATTATATTTGTTATGTAAACTTGAAACTCCAACCCTAAATTATCCACCTCCCAATCCTGCTGCTGCCTTAAATATTTCTTCTCTCCCAGACAACTCTTTCAAAGAATAGCCAGCACTCACAGCCTTCAGTTCAAACTGGCCATCCGCTCATACCTGAATTCCAGTTCCTGTGTCCCTCCCCCTCCAATTCCACTAACTCTGCCCAAATAGAGTTGTTAAAGACCCCAGTCGTCAAATCCAGGAGTCACTTTTCAATTCTCTTCTGGTAGGCTTTCAGCCTGTGTTTGGGGCATGAAAAGAAAAAATTGTACATCTACCCAGAGCACTAACAGGGGACCAGGACCAGGTGAATTCTAATTATGGAGAGTGGCTCTGACGAGAAATCAGTTCTTGGGTGTAAGAGTCAGGACTAAGCAGTCCAACCTCACCCACATTGCCAGCTGGATGCTGAAATTACGGGACATGACAGGTTTCCTCACAGGCAGATACGGTCATCCCCGTTACACTAGGAAGGAAATTAAGGCTCAAAAACAAATCGTAGATGGTCCCAAATAGTGAGTTAGGATCCCCGCTCCTTCTATCACACAATAACAACAATAATTATGACTTATGAATGATCATCACCATATACCTGCCATGAGCCAGGAGTGTCACGAAGCATTACCTCATTTAATCCTCCCCCAAAGGACACACGAGTATATACAACTGACCACAACCCCACCTGGATACCTGACAGACATCACGAGGGTGACACAGCTGGAAATGAAATTGGGATCTTTTCCCCAAAGCCTGCTTCCCCTATAACTTTCACTGCCTCAACTACTACGTCGCTCAGTGGAAAAAATGGAATGATCCTTGACTCCTCTCATCCGCACCTCACATACAATTTCTCAGGAAATCCTATTGTGTCTACTCTCAAAACATATTCATAGACTTCCTCCTTCGCAGCACTGCCATGCTACCAGCTGGTCCTGGCCTCCGTCATCGCTCACTTAGATTATTCAGTAGTAGCTTCCTGACAGTTCTCCCTGCTCTGCCATCCTCACTTCCCTGACCCCATTACCCCACCCCCACTCTAGTCTTCCAAGCAGTCAAAGTGATTTAAAGCTAAGACAGGACAGTTCCATGGTGCGGCAGTGCTGCACCGTAAGAGAAGCCAGATTCCACATGGTAACCACAGTTCAAATCTCCGGCCAGCTGGCCTGAAACGGTCAGGCTCATGCATGAGTGCCCAAAATCCTCTGGGTTGGAGGACTGGAGAGAAGAGATTACAGTGTGACCAGACCCTGCAGAGGGTGCTCGTATCTCTCTCTCTCTCTCTCTCCCCTCTTTCTCTCTCTCTCATTCACAACACACATCACACTTATCATGAATAAAGAAAACTAAAAAAAAAAAAAAAAGCTAAGATCATGACCCTCCTGAACACAACACCCTGCCATGATTCCCATCACACTTAGACTAAAAGTGAAGTCTTCACCATGCCCTCGGAGATTCTTAATAATCTGCTCCCTACCCCCTGCTTAGGGATCCAGCTCCTGCTACTCTCTCTTCTGAGCTTAGGACTCCAGCCTCCTCCAACACACCAGACCCACTCCTGCTTTAAGGACTCTGCACTAGCTGTCCCCTCCACCTGAAAGTCTCTTCTCTGAAATAAACCAATCTACCACCTTGGCCTCTTTCAAGTCTTCACCCACACCTCACATTCTCTTTGCAACACATTCTGGTCCTTTACAACTCCAGAGTCCCCTCTACACTCCACTAACTTTTCCTTTGGCATAGCACTTCTAACATACTATGTAGGTTAATTATTTTTTGTCTCTCCCCATTAGCATGTAAATTTGGGGGGAAGTATTTTTGTCTATTTTGTTCACTTCTATATTGCAAGCTCCTAAAAGACCGTCTGGCACTTAGTATACACTCAAACTATTGAATGAATAAACCGCCCTATCGACACTATGACGCTATCAAGAGCAATGTCCTTTTGGAAGACACTTTGGCGCGCAGTATTTCAGGTTAGTGTTAGTGTTAAACACGAATCTGCGACTCTTGCGCTGATCTCCGGCGCCACCTGGCGGCATAAATGCAAATTAAGTTTGTTTCGCTTCTAACACTGTCCCAAGTTTACTCGGAACTATTTAGCCCTCATCTTACTGAGTGCGCGTGGGAAAGAAAGCACAGAACACAAACTCCGGAAGAAATTACGAACAGCAGGAAATTCTAGTGCCCCGAAGTAGCATCCTAACCAATAGGTACTAAGATCTAGGTCACGTGGTGCATGTTCTGCCTATCGAGGGCCTAACAGTTCCAGTCTCGCTCCCGTCTGTTCCTCGTTCCTTCTTTTCTCTACCAG